GATACAACCAAATTACAATAACCCTTGATGATTAAGAGAAAATAACATTTACTTGCCCATATGGCACGTTTGCTTTCAAAAGGATGCCGTTTGGCCTTTGCAATGCTCTAGTAACATTCCAAAGGTGCATGATGGCCATCTTTACTAACATGATTAAGAAGACAATTGAAGTATTCATGGATGACTTCTCTGTTTTTGGAGATTCTTTTGAATACTGCTTAGATAATTTGGCGGTTGTTTTGCAAAGGTGTGAAGAAACCAACTTGGTTCTGAATTGGGAGAAATGTCACTTCATGGTGCAAAAGGGCATTGTCTTTAGTCATCGGTTATCCAAAAAGGCCTGAAAGTTGACGAGGCAAAGGTGTCTGTTATTGAGCAATTGCCTCCACCAACAAGTGTAAAGGGTATTAGAAGTTTCTTGGGTCATGCGAGATTCTACCGACGCTTTATTAAAGATTTCTCTAAAATCACTAAGCCTTTGTGCAATCTTCTAGAGAAAGATAGAGTTCAAATTCGATGAAACTTGTATGAATTCTTTTGAAGAGTTAAAGAAGAGACTAACATCAGTACCAATTCTAATGGTACCTAATTGGGAGATACCCTTCATCATTATGGCCGATGCTAGTGATTTCTTCGTTGGAGCAGTGCTACGACAAAAAGCAGAAAAAATCTTCCATCCCATTTACTACGCAAGTAAGACCCTGGATGATACCCAACTTAACTACACCACTACCAAAAAAGAACTACTGGCAGTGGTTTTTGCTTGTTAGAAATTTCATTCTTATATTATAGGCACTAAAGTGACTGTTTACACGGTCCATTCTACACTAAAGTATCTATTTACAAAGAAAGATTTCAAAGCACACTTGATTCGCTGGGTCCTCTTACTTCGAGAATTCGACTTGGAAATTGTTGATAAGAAGGGAACTAAAAACCAAGTGGTGAATTATCTGTCTCGATGGAGTACTGAAGCTTAACAGGATCATTGCTAGGAGATTTAATGTGGCTTTCCCCGATGAATACTTGTTCTTTGTGGATGACTCGACTACTCCATGGTATTCAGATCTGGTTAATTATCTAGTTTGTGGAACTCTGCCACTAGACCTTAACTTCCACCAAAAGAGGAAATTCCTTCATGATGCAAAGATGTACTTCTGGGAGGAACCTTATTTGTTCAAAAGATGTGCCGATCAGATAATGAGAAGATGTATTTCGAAAGTTAAGCAACAAGACATTCTAGAGTGTTATCATTCTTCTACCTATGGAGGGCACTTTGGAGGAGAGAAAATTGCTGCCAAAATCCTTCAAAGCGGTTTCCATTGGCCTTCATTGTTCAAAGATGCATACACCTTTGTGATCTGATACAATCAGTGTCAACGAGTTGGAAACATATTAAGAGGGAATGAAATGCCTCTGAATAACATTGTGGAAGTTGAACTCTTTGATGTATGGGGGATTGATTTCATGAGTATATTTTGGTCGCTATGGACTATGTCTCGAAATGGGTTGAAGCTATGGTATGTGTATCTAGTGATGCTAAGACTGTGATCAAATTTTTAAAGAAGAACATCTTTACTAGATTTGGAACACCCCGGGCTATCATTAGTGACGGTGGCTTTCATTTTTGCGATCATCAATTTCAAGCTCTAACAAAGAGATATGGTGTGAAGCATAGGGTAACTTTGGCATATCACCCTCAGTCTAATGGCCAAGCTGAAATATCCAATCGAGAGATTAAAAGCATTCTCAAGAAGGTAGTTGGTGCAACAAGAAAAGATTGGTCATTAAAACTGGATGATGCTCTTTGGGCCTACAGGACAATGTATAAAACCCAGATTGGGATGTCTCCATATCGGTTGGTGTTCGGAAAAGTATGCTATTTGCTTGTGGAATTGGAACATGAAGCTTAATAGGCCATAAAAAAGCTCAATTTTGACTTTCAAGATGCTAGTACAAAAAGGCTCATTCAACTGAATGAACTGGAGGAATTTCACCTTAATGCCTATGAAAGTGCAAGGCTCTATAAGGAGAAGACCAGGAAGTATCATGATTAGAAAATTCTACCTAAGGTCTTTGAAGCTGGGCAAAAAGTGCTACTTCACAACTTAAAATTGAGACTATTTCTGGGCAAACTCAAATCACATTGATCAGGACAATTCACTATGGTACAAGTTGCAAACCATGGTGTGGTGGAGCTAGAAAATGACAAGGGTGAGAGGTTTCATGCAAACGACCATTGATTGAAGCATTATTAGGGTGGAAAGGTCGATCATCAAGGTTCCATAATCTACTTGACTACTTCACTGAGTCATCATGAAGTAGCTGAAGAGTCAAGCTGAAGACTATAAACCAAGCGCTACTTGGGAGGCAACCGAAGCTCTGAACTTTCTTTTTGTGTTGTTTATTGCTTTTTGATTTTATTTTAGTAGTTTTATGTCTAATCTTTGTTTTTGTAGGCCTAAAGGTTTATTCCTCAAACTTTAGATCCTTGCAAGAAGGAGTGACTGAATTCCAACTAGCACAACCAGGGAAGTGTACCTAACCCTAATCTCAAGCATTACCCCTTGACCTTGTTGTTACATCTGGAATATCGAGTGCCTTTGACCTAGAATTCATTGATATTGTGGCTTTAATTGGTTACTTCGATTATTTTGGAACTTATGTTAACTTTAGCTTGTTGTGGGTGTTGTTTTTGAGTGTTTGTTTGTGTTTTGTTGCTTCTTATGTTCGTGCTTTTGTTTTCTTGTGTTTTGCTTGTTTGGGAGTTGTGGGTCCAATTAATGTTTGGTGGTTGTTTAGTTTATTCTTGTCCTATAATAGGCATCATGGCATTTTCATATATACGCTGTAGTGGCCTCTCTTTCCTCAGTTGCACTTGTTTTTGTAATAGTCACCGCGGCTCTTTGTACTATCCACTATGGTGTCCACGTCTTTATTCCTGAGTTGCGTTTTTGTAACAACCGCCGCGGTGGGTGTGTTTATACACTGCGGTGCCCTTCTCTCACCCAGAAGTTCCAATTTTGCTTGAGGCACCGCGACGTGTGTGAGTAGGAGCCACGATGCCTATCCTTTAGCCAGAGCTCCAATTCTGCTTAAGGTGCTACAGCATGAGTCTTCATGTGCCGCGGTGTCGTTGCATCCGCTACAGTTTTCAGTTTTTGATTTGCCCAGGTTACCCTCCTTTATTTTTCATATTGCCCACTCTGCCCCTATGTATCTAGATGATTTTTAGGGTCTTATTCGTTGTCTTAATTATATAGCCCTAACCCTTTTGCCTTTTTACTCTCTCACCCAATTTTAAAATTTCTTTCCTTCCTTTCGTCCTCATTTCCCTTTAGGTCCACAGTTCATCCCTTTTGGTACACCTCTCCCTCCCTCCTTCGTCACTCTCTTTTTTTGCCACTCTCGTCGACCTCTCCTTCCCACTTTGGCCATTAATTCGCTCTCCATTTCTCTTAAGAAGTCACAGTCATCCATCTATTTTCTCCTTTACTGCGTGTTCATCCACTGTTTCTCCTTCATCCCTTTGTGCTGATTCTTCTGCTCTGTCAGCGGTAACATTCTTTCCTTCCTTCATTTAGTTTGTTGAGTTTATTTCCTTTGAGAGTTAGGAAGGGTAATGGTAGAAGGGTTTGCATTGTGGTTGGGAGTGATGCTTGAACTGTGAATAGGGGGAGTTTGATTCTCTGAGGTTCACTGTGATTAGAATTAGGGCCAATGTTGAAAAGGTTTTCAAAAGGATATTTCTATGGCATTTCTTTGATTCTTTTTTACAGAGAAAGCAACATTCATTTGTGATAGAAAATCCATGTGACTCAACTTGCATTGATGTTCTTCTTGAGAAATGGATTGCTTGATATGACAAATTCCTGTTTCTTGTTATGAGTCCTTGGACACCATTTTGTGAAATCAATTTGAATAGACATTTACTGAGGATGCGTATCTTTGAAACCATTTGGTAAAATCTTTATGCACTTCTTTTTGCATTGAAGGTCCTCGTGAATTGAGGTTAGGAAGGACTTAAGTAAGGGTGAGAGTGTGCTCTTGGGATTGCTTGAGGTTTACTTAACTTTGATTTTTGATCTGAATCCCTGATCTAAGTTTGGGGGAGAGCCTTTTTAGGATAGCTCTGTTTTTCTTTCTTCATTGTTTTGTGTTTGTGGTGTGCTAGTTGCTTAGTTTGTGTGTGGTGTGCTTTGTTCATTTTGTGTAGGGAAACAACCGAATGGCCCCTAAGAAAAAAGCTTGTGCTACCACCCCTGATCCCCCTATCAAGGAGCTGATTGAAAGGAGAGGGTTACATCAAGAAAAGGAATTTCCATGCACGAACAAGTTTGGATTTTATAAAAGAGCGAGGAAGGCAAAGCTCTTGGATCTGATTGGACCCAAACCGAGGGGAATGAGAAGCTGGTTAGGAAATTTTATGCTAAGGTAGCTACAAATTTGAGTAACAAAATGTTTATCCAGTTCCAACGTGTCCTCATTACCCCAGAGCGGATAAGAGATTACTACCAACTCCCACAGTTGAAAAATGCCAATATCAATGGTATCTGAGCAACCAAAAAAAAAAATTCCTCTCAATAAAATCTCCTCAACACTTATTGGCTTAGAAGAGGATAAGTGGATGAGACTTGAGCGGTCAAGCTTATATTTTGCAAAAAGACATGACCCTTGAGGCCAGAGTTTGGCTGCATATTGTCACTAGAAACATTATGCCAACCAGCCATGTGAGTGAAGCCCCACGAAATCTGGCCCTTTTGATGTATCTGCTCATGATCAAAGCGACGATAAATATAGAGCAGTTGATCTTTGATGCCATATGGGATGCTAGCAAAGCCCACAACACTGATCTCATCATGCCTTACTTGATCTTGGACCTGTTAACTAAAGCAGGGGCAGAATGGAAAGAGAAATATTGAAAGTTCAAGCCAACCCCCAAATTCAACTACTCTAATTTTGTTCCTGAAGGAGAACAGCAGCAGAGGCGTAGATAGAGGCGCATGGAGGAGTTGTTAGTCCAAATTAGACGGGAATTGGACATTGATGTGTCGGATGTTGGAGATACGAGCATTAAAGTTGAATATAAGGAAGGGTCGCTTGGAGAGAAAGATGAAGCTGGAGCATCTTGTACTGGCTTTAGTGAGGGAGATGATATGGTTGTCGATCCGTTTGTAGAGAGGGTGATGAGGATTAGGGGGGTCAGTAGACTGAGGAGAAGGATGACTAGCTAGGGCCATTTGCTGCTGATGTTGTTGCTTGTTTTATTTTTGCTTTCGTTTGTGCTTTTTGAGTTTCTCATGACTTTATTTGTTTAGTGTTTTGTTATTTGCTTCGCTATATCTGAAAAGACTACTGATGGCCTATTGGATTGATTATGATTGCTGAACTTTATATGTGTTTGTTGCTTATAACTGAGTTAATTGCTGATAGACTCTATGGATAATAGTAGTAATTGCTGATTTCATTGAGGTTATTTGATAGTGATACTATTGATAGTTGCATATACTGCTATATTTGTATAGGAAGAAGGCCCAATTTTGACTTTTCATGCAACAGATTTATTGTTTTTGGGTCCTCATTACATGCCTTGACCTTCACTTAACCCTTGTTGACAATGAGGGCACTGTCAGTTTTGAGTTTGGGGGTAGGGGTTGATTTTTGTGGATAATAGGATTTTTTTTATGTGGACAACAGGTCTAATATGGATAACACGGTTAATTTTGAAAAGTTTTGAAAGTTTTGAAAAGGTTATTTTGTTGGGTAAATATTTTGAGGAAAAAGGAAAATAGTTGAAATAGTGGAAATTTCGTGATCTCAAATTTTTGCTCATTTGGTTTTTTGAATGATGAACTGAAGTGACAAGTTGTTAGTTGAAAATGTATGAATGGTCCAATGATTGAGCAATTGCTTAATTACTATGCTTGATAAGAAGTTGTGATTTGCTCTTTGATGCTTGAATTGAGAGGTTAGAACCTGTGTTTCTTCAATTTTAGGGAAACTAATGCACAAAAGGGGGTCAAAACATTTCAAATGATTATGTTGAGGTTGAGTGGATAATTTAGCCTTTATAATTTTGTTTCAATTAAATAATTTTAGAATCGTCTTCTAATTTCTCAAAGTTTATGGTTTATTCTATATGAATTTGAAAAATGATTAGGGCAATTTTTAAATGCGTTTGAGCCTTTCAAGCTGACCTAAATGATCTTCTCCTTTGAACCCATATTTTGAGCCTAAAAAAATATAGAAAAAGAGAATGGTATATAAATATTTAGTTCAATTCCATGAAAGCTTGGTGAGAAGAGAATTAATTCTGGTACAAGTTTGGGGGAATAGAGGTGGTTGGAATGAGTTCTGATTACAGTCAACTATTTATCTCAAAGTATTTGTATACCCTATTCTTTCTTTCTTTCCTAAACTATGACCTCTTGGCCACATTATAAGCCAAAAAGTCCCTTTGATTTCAAATTTATGTGAGGTGAGTTATAGGCGCAGAGGGAGAAGGAGTTAGGCTTATGAAGGTATGCAGTTGAAGGTTAGTTTATTGGCTAAAGTTTCATACTCTGCTAGGACATTGTCATGAGAGATGTTCTTTGACCCTATACACACACTCGCACTCCAAAATCATTGAAAATTTATTTTAAGCTCATGGAACTTGCTTCTTTGGGTGATTCAATAATTCCCTATCTTGTATATTTCTTTCAGCATTTAATGAGGATATAGCCATTCCTGCAATCTTTTGATGTGCAATTTGTTACCCAGTTTCTGGTTTACTCGACGACGGGCAAAAGTTTAAATTTGGGGGTGTGATACCTCTCGAAATTCAACTTGTTTTAGCACTCTTTTATGCGTTTTGGAAGTTAATTGTGTAGGAAAAGGCCCGAAGTGAGCAAGAAATAAAGACTAGAAGCAGAGAAGTTGAAAAAAAGACCAACCGCTGCGGCGTATGAAGAAAAATGCCACGGCAGTTCTGACAAAAAAGAAATAAAAGACATTTGGTGTAATCTGCTGTGGCATCTAACAATATCCACTGCGGTGCCTCTATCTGTCCTAAGGAGCTGTCATTCTGTGTATGGCGCCGTTGTGCCTGATCATCTCCGCCGCAGTGCCCAACCCTTTCAAGAAGCCCATCCTGTGAAATCCACCCTGGCAGATTACCAACCGCAGCGTCTGACCCCTCGTTACTGTGCATTTTATGTTGTAACTTAATAGTTAGGGTTTTTATATAGGAGACTTGTGGTTTTTTGACACACTTTGACTTTGGGGCTTATTTTGGGAGGCTTGCTTTGCTAGGGTTTGGAGGTTTTGGAGCTTGGGATCATTAGACATCGAAGTTACAAGAGATTGAAAGCTTCTTCCTCAATTTTTCTTGGGTTTCTTCTTCTCCTCTCCTTGTCTCTGTAATGGCTCGGAATTATTCTAACAGTTGTGGCTCTTTGCTAAACATTTGTAGCTAGAATAGTCATTTTAAGGTTATTTCGATTTATTGTATGGATTAAAACTTGTTTTAACTCTCTCTATAGTGTTAATGATAAAGTTTTGTTGTTTTTACCTCGAGCTTAATGCTTCCTTATGACTGGCCATCATTTGGCTTGATTAGTTGATTGGTTGAAGCTTAAGAAAGTTAAATTAATCTGTGAACTTTGGTAAAAATGTGCTAATTCAGAAATTTATCTTATTGAATAGAAGGTTTGTTGATATAATAGAGATATATCTATTAACCTGGCATAGCCTAAAAAAGGGTTTTGGTTTTCAACGTGCAACATTTTCAAACAAATGCAAGAGATTGCTATGTTTTATTGAGATTGCAAAAATTTGGTTTTGACTTGAGAAAGCTTAATCAATTTTGCAAACCTTGCCTAACTGAACTTATTGTTAACTACTGCTTGAGAAGTGATTAATCAAGTTTTATGAAGTATTTTAGTGAAAAATAATCCTAGAACCTTATTTGTCTCAAAGTCCAAGTTGATTTCATGTTGATTTAAATAATTGTTTTCTTAATCTCATTTCACAAATTCTTTTACAGCTTTCGTTTCACTTAAGCTAATCAAGAACGCAATTATGATTTTTAACTCATCTGGCCTTAATCTCTGAGGGAACGATACTTTTTATATTAGTTGCGACCTGTCCACTTGCGGTTAAGCTATTTGGCGAATAGTGATAATACTTGAAGCATGTTATAGGCCTATGTGATTTATGATTAATGCATGGTAGTTTCCAAATATGTCATTATGTTATAAAAATATTAAGTTTGCAAGCATGTTATGAATGTCAAGCTATGCCATGTATGCTTGGGTAGTAATTCTTTGCTATTGAGATTTTACGGAATCTCACCCTCCTTAACTAACCATAATAGATATCATGCTCATGGAAGAGGAATGCAAGATGAGGATCAAAAGCAAGAAGAGAAGTTGAGTATGATGAATGATGATGGTGGCATGTAAAATAATCAATGATGATACTCCTCCGGTCCTTAATATAAGACCTATTTAACTAATTTGATTAGATTAAGAAAGTTAGGTAAGTTAGTTAATTATAAGAAAAGTGACACATTTTTCCTAAAACACCATAATCATCTTTCTTATACCCCCTCTCCCTCTTCTACTTGATTGTGGTTGAGGGAATATCTATAAGAGTAATTTAGAGAAAATTGATAAATATGATAATTGGGTCTTATATTTAGGACCAAAACCAACTCAATAATTGGGTCCTATATTAAGGACCGGAGGAGTATATTTAAGGACATCCCTATTAATGAATGAGTATGATATATTTAATGAATGGGTATGATATATTTAAGGACATCCCTATTAATGTTATTTAATAATGAATGATGATGGTGGCATGTAAAATTGAGTATGATAATGTATGAGAATGAATGATGGAAAGTTGGAATAGTTGCATGCAAGATAATAATTGTTTATAGCATGCTAATTTGAAGTGAGGAGATAAACTTTCAGGCATAAAGTAACAAAATTGAGACAGAGTAAAAGTGAAGCAAGAGAATGATTCTATCTGAGAAATTTTATGATTAACTAATACACATCTTGAGATTTAGGGGTGTTTGGCAATTGCTCCAGAAATGCTTCTGGGCCCCAAACCAAGGTTAGGGTTTAGTAATTGCCAAACACCTTGGAAATTTCTGAAAACCATGGTTTCAGCCAAAACCTTTGTTTTGGCCAGCCAAACCATGGTTTTCGGATAAGCTACACTGCTTCGCTTTTGAGATGTATTTTTCTGGTTGTTGGCGGTGAAAAACAAGAACACTCGAAATCTGTCTCACTCCTTTGTAAAAACAAGAACACTCTTCTACCTCACTCCTTCGCCGTCGTCCCTTCACTGGAAATTTCTCTCCCACAGATTTGGACCCCACAACCTTATCCCCGAGGACGCTCCTCTGCTTTTAGAACCGCACCACAATGGGCTCTCCATCTCAGAGGAAAGCCATGACTTTGCGAATGGGTACACAGTGAATGAGGAACTGAAGATAGTGGCTTTAGAAGCTACAAACAAGTCTCACGCACCGTACTGTGAGTGTCTCTCGACGGTGGCTCTGATGGACGGCAGCGGCAAGATATACAAATGGTCATACATGGAATCGACAGCTTTTAACCCGAGCATGAGGCCGATGTAGGCAGTGTTGGTGGAGAAGGAGGAAGCGGCAGTGAAGCAGGAGGGAACGGGGAGGCTGTTGGTTCAGTCCATCGCGCCCAAGTGCCAATTCAAGACGGTGCTTTGCAGCAACACCCCAAGCTGATTTTATTGTACTATTTATCCACCCTTAATTTAAAGGAATAAAATAAAATAAAATCATTGCACTATTTCAGTAGTTATTATGTTTATAATACAAATCCAATATTATACCTAAAAATTTAATTTTACTTGCACACGAAATGAATAAAAATAAAAAGTTGGCCAAAAATGGTAAATAATAAGAGGATAAAATACACATTTAGTCTTTTAACTTTGTACAAGGTTTCAATTTGGTCCTTTAACTTTAAAAAGTATACTTTCAATCATTTAGTCCTTTTTTTTTTGAAAACATGATGATATTAAGATCTTAAATATTGATAAAATATTCTCAAATGCTAATACATTAAACTTAGTTTTCAAAATATCCATAATTGTTACAAAAAATCATCATTAAAGTCTAATAATTTTAGAGTTAAAATATCAAATATATGTTTTTTAAAGTTGAAGAACCAAATTAAAACTTTGTACAAAGTTAAAAGCCAAAAAATTATGGGATTTCATGTTTCAAATCTTTAAGAAATAATAATATTTTTTTATTGGAAAAATAAATCATTTTCCAAAAAACATATTTAATTATTTTGTAAATATATATACACATTAATTATTTATTATTTATATTATTATGTCTCATTTATTATCTTGCCAAAATATATATTATTAACAAATTTATTACTTCAAGTAAACATATATTATGAAATATATCTTATATGTAATTATCATTTAAACTTATGTCCTTTTTAGTAATTTCTACATATAAAAAAATACTTCTGACAATAATTATTCAAACACTCTCACTTTATCAGAATTATTTTTTCAGAAAATCTATTTTTTCAAATCTATTTTTCTCAGAATCTATCTCTCCAGAAGCTATTCTCCAAACCATGGTTTGGCTTCATCCAAACACCCCCTTAATATAGATCACTTCAAATGGGTATGTGCACTGAAAAATATGATTTTCCAAAATTAGGGTATGTGCCTTCATGTATTTTTTTTTGTATTAAATGAGTAAGTAGATGAACCAATGAGTATTTTTTTTCTCTATAGAGGATCAAAAGAGCTTTAAATTGGAGACTTGAATCACTTCAATATGATTTTTTTTAATTAATTTTAAATTTTCAAAGTTAGACCAAAAATTTGAAATTTACCAAATGAATAGTAACTCGAGAATAAAAACGAGTTTTCAATTCATTGGCTTAATTCGTGATTTGCTTGAACCATAGTACTTCTGAATGCATACTAAATGAGGTTAAATGACAGATGTTTCGTATGTAATTGATGTAAAGTTGAAAAGTCAAATTTTAAGATAGACATATAAGGCCATTTGAAATATGAGAATATCAAAATAGTCTCTCAGAATGGCTTAATTCCCTCATGCAAATGGGGAAAGAATTGCACTAGCATCGAGCTTTGATGGCCCAAGTTATGGAAAACTAAACTGGTCAATGATCCGGTTGAGGCATTGGGTTAGACCAGTGGTCAACTAGGAGTCAAATTGGTAATAATTAAAATAATTTGATTTAATTAAATGCATAAAATATTTATATTTTAATAATAAAAAAATAATATTTAATCTTTTTTATTTAAATACCATGTGAAATGTTTTCTCTCTTTTATTCTTTATTCTTTCTTTTTTTTCCTTTTTTCTTCTTTATTCTCTTGCCTCACATCACTCACTAAATTCTTTCTTTCTATTTTTTACTTTTTCCGTTCCCACCCTCTTCCTTTTTCATCTCTCTCCAACGTGAGAATGCTTCTCTTTTCCCCACTTCAACATATATAAGTGATTAGATGATTAGACTCGTTGATAGCTTCCATTTCTTCCTACTTCATGAGTAGCAATGCATGTGTTCAGATCTAGATTTTCAATAGTGACCATTTTGCTCTCTATAGTTTGTGTGGGCATTGCTATTTTGCTTTCCAACCTCTACTCCGACTGCCATCGTGTTAAGTACTAGCTCATCCACAGCCATAATAATGTCGATTGCGTCTTCTAAGAGGATGACACCAAAGATACCAATGTCTCACCCTCTCTAAAGATCTTGTGGCAGTTGTTGGTAGAACCGTCAAGGGTAGGCTAACATAAACATGGTCACCCTTCCCATCTTCTATTATCTGGACAACTCTTCTTTGCTATGCATGTCACTAGGAAAGTATTTGACTTCAAGCATCAGCCATGGTGACTGACAATTTTTTCCAGCAAGGAGGTAAACTGGTAACCCACCTAACCTAGAGGGTTACATGAGTTAATCCCGAGTTGTCTAAGGGTAGGGTGGGTCACAAACTTTCGAAGTTAGAGGCTTGACCAGACCGACCACATGGTCGAGTCACACAAGTTTCGACCTAACCTGCCTGGTCTAGTGGGGTTTTAATACAATGCGATGGCTGCAATGGAGGGAATTTTTTTTTCCTCCTTACATGATGAAAATTTGGTCTTTCTACAAACAAATTAATTTCACAACAGTCCATATTGATTTTATAGAAATTAAGCCCGGTCTGGTGGGGTTTTAATACAATGCCCGGTCTTGTATGTATTTCTCCCAAAATGTCATCCCAAAATTTGAACTCCCTAAACCACGCTTTCAAGTTTTTATTTTTGGTTGAACCTTTGCCGGTTTGGACAACCATCTCAATTCCCGGGCATCTCCGCCGGAAAGCACAGATAGACCTAAACGGGCCAAATTGGTTACAAAGGAAATAAGTTCTTGAGGCCCATGAAGCCCAACGCGTGGGTAGAAAGCAACATCGACCGGCCCCAATCGTGGTCGAATCGAACAAATTCCCCTGCTCCAGTGCCCCTGCACTATTTCTTTCAGTTTCAGGCAGCGAACCTTCTGAGGTTTCTTTCTGCGTTTGATCGATTGAGTTTCTTTTGTTTCGATTTTCGGCACGTCTTTCATGCCACGGCTTTCTTTCTATGTTTCTCGTTTTTATCTCTTCCCAATTCACTGAGTTGTACTTTTCTTGCAGCAACCATGGCAGATGAAAAACAGAAAGACTTGAAGGAGGAGGTTCCCGAAGTAAGTATTCTTCTTTCCGTCATTAATTATTTACGTTTTACGACGTTGTTCTGCTTTGTTCATTTCCCTTGAGTAGGTATACAGGGATTTTTTTGTTATGGTCTATAATTTGCTATTTCTCATGTTCATAATCCCCTGTCAACCCTATTCATCTGCTACCGCAATTAATTGGTTTTTCATTTCGTTCAAAAAGCACCCCCCTCTGATTCTTTAATTCTTGAATCACAGATTGCCCCATTTGATCCTACTAAGAAGAAGAAGAAAAAGAAAATTACAATCATAGATCCTGCTGATGATTCAGTGGACAGCTTGGCTGAGAAGACTGAAAACTTGTCTGGTATCTAATTTAAACCAAAAGATATGTTTATTATTGTTGCTGATGCTATCGTTTGAGACATCTGTAATTGTGCATGCGCATGGTTCATTCTCATTTTTGGCAGTTTCGGAGGGGGTGGAGACGACATTTTCTGGTTTAAAAAAGAAGAAGAAGAAGCCAGTAAGCGATTCAGTATTTGTATTGAATGTTTTTTGTCCGCAATCTCTGCAGAAGCCATTGGAACATTTAATTATATGGGAGGAGTATATTGCCTTGTTTTATGACTGCAGGTTGAAACCAGTAACTTTACTGATGAGGGAGATGCAGCTGAAGATTTGGATGGTAAGCAGTATCCTTATTCATTGATGTGCATTTGTACGTGTGTTATGCTAGTGATGTCGAATGAAGCTTGAGTGATGAGCTTCTAATAAATTTTCTTGGCTTAGATCGTGCTGGAGTGGATGAAGGAGAAGGTGATGCCCTGGCGCCTCGTTATCCCTGGGAAGGTAGTGACCGTGATTATCAATATGAGGAGGTATATTTTATTTTACATGCCATCTGCAATTGTAACCCTCTCCTTGTCTCTGTCATGGATAAATATTTTGTAATCACTTAGCAGCTTCATCTCATAAAAAAAATTTAACATTCTCAGCTTTTATACTATTATGCTTTCATGAGTTGGTATTGCTTTTTAGGGACTTTGAATGGACTTATATTTTCTTTATTTCTTTGTTTATTTATTTATTTTTTATCATGACTCGTGATAATCCTTCAAGTGGAAGCGCACTAACAATACATCTGAGGCCTTGTGCTTTGTGGGTGCTTCTGCATTGGTGAACTTTGGAATTCAAGAGCGTTTTATCGTTGTTGGAGCAAGTTTTGTCTTACTTTTTGTGTTATCCTTTGCTTATTTGGCAGACAAAATGGAATACAAATTAGAACATAAAAATTGATATGGAAATACCATCTGTTATGCTTGGACTGGATCTGTTCTTAACTACTTTATCTTTGATTTCTCTCCATTTCATAACTTCTCCGCAGTTAGTATATGTTGGCTTGTAAGTTTTGCGAAGTTGAATTTATCAGAAGGGTTTTATTTGAGACCAATTTAATCATAACATGAAAATGTTGATTTAGCCTATATGATTCATTTGTAACAGAGGCAGAGCAAGTGTTTTATTTTTCTTTACTATTTTAGTGTTCCATATCAGTTGTTTGAGGAAGCTTAGTTCAGTTGTCGCTGATGTGAGTTGCTGACCTGTCATCATATTATAATAACAGACTTGGAGTTTGATTTCTGTTTTGTGATTTTTTTCTCTGCAGCTTCTTGGAAGGGTATTTAACATTTTACGTGAGAATAATCCAGAGCTGGCTGGGGATCGTCGGAGAACAGTCATGAGGCCTCCTCAAGTTCTTCGTGAGGGCACAAAGAAAACTGTTTTTGTGAATTTTATGGATTTATGCAAAACGTATGTTGATCTTTTATCTGTCATTCTCTGCAATATATGATATAATCACAGACCTTTTGACATGAGATGAGCGTCTTGAATAGAATTGATTACATTTTTCAGTTTTTCCTTTTATTTTTCAAGATCATTTGATAAGTTGATGTATTATATCATCTTTCTTTCCTTGTTCATTTACCTTGTTTTCTTGAGTTTTTTTTTTTTTTTTTTTTTAATTTAAGAATTTCTTGTGTAATGATTGGTTTGAGGGATGTGTCTTGTGGTTTTCATTTATATGTGCATGCACATGTGTGGCATGCATGTGGTTTCTTAGACTAATGCATGGAATTTGTGATATCAGCCTTTATATTTGCGGGCCCTTTAATGAAAGTGTTAGAGATGACTTGTGAATGTTTGAAAAATGGAATTTGAAGAAGTTTTTCATACTTCCAACCCGTTCATCTTTCATCTCTATCTTCACTGGAAGCTTGAATGAAATACTGTTGCCGTCTGAAATTTTGGCTTGATGGTGAGACCAATAGTGTCTCCCATCAAGTCACGTGATTGAATCCAGCGATGAATGAAATACTGTTGGTTCTTTTGAGTTTATAATAATAATCTTTTGTTTGCTTTTTATTCTAGCTGAACTTCTCTGCCCGTTAGGTATATGTGCAATGCTCTTCATATATCTTTCTCCATTGCTATGAAAACTGATTTTTCCATTTCACCTTTTTTTTTGGGGGTTGTTAGGATGCATCGACAGCCTGACCATGTCATGGCATTTTTACTTGCTGAACTGGGTACAAGTGGTTCACTAGACGGACAGCAGAGATTGGTTGTGAAGGGAAGATTTGCGCCAAAGAACTTTGAAGGAATTTTGCGGCGATATATCAGTATGTGTATATTTTTAATGTTTAATATTTAATAATCTGTTGTATATAATAGTTTAAAATGCATTTCTCTAACTGGTAGAACCCGAATTACTGGAAGGATAAAAGGATGAAAATGAAAACTGAAAGATAATCTGGTAGAGGGCTGAGGTAAGAATCTCACTCTCAACTAACTAATAGCCAGGGATAAAATCCAGTAAGGATTACTTATAAGCAAGGATCTCGCCTAAAACTGAGTAGCTAGGCGGAGAATCTTCAAATTACTGAGTAGATATTTTATTTTGGAAGAATTACAATGAGGTCTCAAGAAAGAAAAATAATCACTAAAAAGTCCTAATAATCTCCAAATTCTGTAAGGACAAGTTCTAGAGTAGGAAATAACTTCTGGGACTTGTTTTGTAATTATTTTCCTTCCTTGGGACCTCATTATAATTCTTCCTTTTATTTTTCTGATATGCTAGCTTATAGGACTGCCAACATATTTATAAGCAGAGGTACAATGAGATAAATATGAAAAATAACCAAATATTCCTAATATATTGGAAATGACAGAAAAATAGATGCTAATGGATTTAGGGATCTCTAACACCCTAAAGTCCACTTATTTCTCAACTGACTCCAAATCCAAAAGCAATCCAAAATGAAAACAGTCCAGAAATTAATAATGGTAAAACAGTTAATCACAACTAATCAGAATCAAAATCAGCAGCTTTCTTCTTTCGCCCTTGGTTTGTCCTGAACGTTTGGTTAGGTGGACTATGCTGACCAGGATTCGTATCAGTAGCCTTATACTATTGTTAGAATGTTGCTGAAATGAGCTTGGAATTCTCTTATGGGTTAAAGATGTGTGCATGTGTGTGTTGTTGTTGTTAGTTGCAATTTTATAAAAATACGAAGTTGAAATAAATCTGGAGTTTGTGCTTGCAACCCTGTTTTATGGTCTTCTTTATGGTATAGATTGATGAGGCGCTTCCTTGTTCCTATCTGTTCTGTGTCTTGTTTATTGTGTTGATGTGTATCTCTGATCGATTTTGAGATTAAATCTGATTGTTATTCCTTTTTGTCAGATGAATATGTCATTTGCCTTGGATGCAAGAGCCCAGACACAATACTTTCAAAGGAGAACCGTCTATTCTTTCTCCGATGTGAGAAGGTAAATATCTTAGAAGCTTGCACTTGGCCTTTCCTCCTCTGCACTTGTTATTTTACAATACCTCGTGATGCTGTTATGCTTTAGTTACAAAGGGCATGTTTGAGGTGGCATTGTGTTTGCCCAAACCCCATTTTGGGATCTCAAAGCATGCTTTTGGAAGAAGCTATTGGAGAGTGGCTTCCTCCTAAACATGGTTTTGGGATTCTAGTTATCAAATGGAACCTTTCAATAAACAGTATATATATAAAGAGTGGGTTGTTGATAAAGCATATTGGTGTAGTGATCTATGTAGCTGACCCACCTGGTAAGGCTTGTTGCCATAAGATTAGAAACCAATGCCACCCCAAACATGGACTGAGTAGCTTGCTAAAATTGTGAGAGAATTATGCTACTAGGAGGCTCTTTAGTCACTTGCAGTTTCTGTTGGTAATGTCCATGAAAGGTTTTGGTTTTTTCCATCATCTAAATATCATCTGCGTTGATTATCTTTTAACTAATTTCTTTGATTACGCGTGATGTTATGGGGTGACTGTTTTGCGTGGATATGTAATATCAAATCTAATAACTGTTGATTTACTGCAGTGTGGATCAGGGAGGTCAGTTGCTCCAATTAAGGCTGGTTTTGTTGCTCGTGTTGGTCGTAGGACCGCAGGGGCATGATTCAGTCATGTGTTTGCCAAGCGGGTTGAAGAAATGATCTTCAGTTGAAAACTTAGTTACCTCTGTATCTCTTTTCTGAGTTTTGAGTATTTTAATGTAGTAACCGAATCTTGTTTTTTCCCCCCTCTTTGGTTGATGTGTAGGAGCCGTATCTTTCTGCACTGTTTCCTTAAGAGTAACTGCCCCTTTTTTCAATGAGCATCTCAATCTAATTCGTATTTTTTTAATTCTTTTTGTTTAGATTTTAACAATTTTGCCTGGAGAATGTAACCCACCATGAAGGTGATGATTGAAGATAGTGATAATGAAGGCCATAATTTAGAGACGAATGAGAAATACCTGTGAAAAGAATACATGATCAAGTGTAATTTGAAAATGATGTGGGGTCAGTTTGGAGTTGTTTGTAAACGGCACGGTACATGAGGGTAACTCTGTGATAAGAGTTTTGTTTTAATTTATGTGAAACTTGTTTATAAGTGTTTATAAAAGTGATGCTAAATAAGTACGTAATATGGCTTGCATAGAAGTTCAATTTGTGACATCAAAATTTTTCTATTTAAATTTATTAGAATAAAATATGTTTTGGGAAAACTCTAGGTAGTCCCACTGTAGCAACTTAATTTCACTTTTTCTTAATCACTCTTAAATAGCTGGATACTTGTTCGTATTAAATGAAATTTAGAGAATTTATCTATAATTTTGGTGACCAGAACCTATAGATAATTTTTTCTAATAACTGCACCGTTTTCTTCATAAACTAAAGTTTGCTGTCATGGCATCGTATGAAATATACATAATATTTTACATGAAGGAAGTAAAATGAAACTGAAAGGGGGAAGGAGTTGGCGTTCGTATCCATATGGGGCAAAAAAGTGCTTATTAATTATGAATACATGTTGAACTAAGACTATTGTCGTGGCTTACTTTTGGTGCATTTTAGCACTCATCCTCTCTATGTTGAGTGCGATATAATGATTCATATATGTATATAATATATATACACACACACACACATACAAATATATAGAGATGTGAACAAAGTGTGAGAAGCATTAACAAGTAAAGGTGGCAATAATTAAGGCGATAGTTGAGATGAGAGGCAAAGCCATGTCCAATACAAGCTACTAGCACTGTTGGGCTTTGGGTAGCTTGTATTAAAACCTGCACAATCTAACATTCAAACATATCTTCTCTATGAGCTAATCAACATTAACATTATCACTATTTAGCTATTTAAACACAAACGCAAATCTGGTTAATAAACAATAGAAAATTGTTTTATGATATCATTTAATTATTCCTACTATATTGAAATAAACAATGCTCTCTTTGCTGTAAAATATAGGTATTTTAAGGCTTATGCATATGGGTTAAAAAATGTAATGAATAGATTGAGATATTGGCTATATTGCCAAACTTACCCCTAATTGATGTGTTTTATAAATTGAAGTTATTGGAGTGAATGATGGCATAATAAAAAAAATCTTAATGAATAATAATTTGAACTTAAAAAAGACATGAAATAATAACGAAGAGAGTACTAGTTCAGCACGTGCACAAATTATAGCATATAAGTCGCAACTTTTTATTTTTATTTCTTCTAACAGCGGATATCTTATCAGTGGAATGTATTATCCATGGATACACATTTCTCATCAATGAAGGTAAGTTCAGTTGAAAGGTAGTGAGTAAAGGCTTAGTGGGTTAGACCGAAGTCAACCCGAGAGTCAAACCGATGAGAAGTTAAAAAATTTAAGAAATAATTTAAATTTTCATCATTTCATCTTAGAACTAAATATCAATTTAGTATCTTGAGTCACTAATAAAGTAATCATATACTTACAATTTCTTTTCAATATTCCTTACAATTCTTTTGCCAAATTGAAATCGTAATATCATACTAACTACCAAAATCACTGAATATTCATCCTAGCAAAATATCAAAATAGATATATGGTAACAAAATATTCAATCACTAAGTAATAATTAGCAATAGCTTTGATAAAAGAAATTTTTTTTATCAAAAAATATATTTTTTTTAAAAAAGGCAACTGGGTCAACCTCACCAAAATTGATTGAGTTTCCTGGGTTAATCTGAGTCACACTGAGTCAATTCAACCTCAGTTTCTATGCTCACCTAGACCAGTTAACTAGCTAGTTCGCCAATTTTTGAGTTAAACCAGCTGATCCGGTTCGAGTATTAATTCCATGATGGTATTTCATAAAATTATGAATACTTGTGCTGGTAGTTCTTATAAAAAAACCCAATAACTAATTCACGTGTATCAATAAAAACAATCAAAAGCACTAAATTTGTAATAAAATTCAAGTGATTATACTTCCTTGGTCTCTTTTTATAAGAAATAATACTACCATCTCGACCAGGTCCCATTTGTTTTAACCTTTAAGGGGCTAATAAATCCTTAATTTGAAACTCAAGAGACTAAAACCAAAATTCATACAAAATTGAAGGGCCAAAGATTGTATTAGCCTATTAAATTTTTGGTCTTATTTATAAGATGCTGATATATAGTTTCAATGAGCATTAAATATTTTTTTTTAACATATGCACCTATTTGTCGAGGATAGTTAGGGAGCAGAAATTGATATGATACTTCATCCGTCCCTTTTTACAAGAAATACAAGACAAAATCACGTGAATCAAAAAGTTTAGTTAAAATTGTAAGTTTTTTTCCTCAAAAATACCCTTATTTATTAGGGGGCAGAGTATAAGAGAGATAACAAAAAATTATTAAAATAAAGAGAATTAGAGAAGAGAAATAAAGTGCAATAGTGAGAGATGAATGAATGATGTTTTGGAAAAATAAAATAAGAAATATATTAAGTATTGAAATAAGTAATTGATAGGGACAAAATAGAAAACTAGCTAAGAAAATTTAAGATATATTGCAAATGTTTTTTTATGAATAGGGACAAGGTAGCTGTCAAAACAATTGTGACTTATTTAGGGATAACTTATCCCCTTTTTATTTGCATTAATAATTCATAATTAATTCCTTTCATGCATATTACCCTTTCATTAATATACTAACCATTTCCATACATCATCATATTCAGTCTTACATGCCATCATCATCATTTATTATCACATAAAATTAGTGGTACATTTTTATCATACATTAGCATACAAATTACATAACCCGATATAATATATTTTCTCAATTCCTTTTCTCTTTTCCTCGCTTCCAACCTCTTTACCTATTAAGGTTGGTTAATGGAGAGTGAGATTCAGGAGAATCCCTATCACCCTTCCTTTTAAACCTTTTTATACATCAAATAAAAACGTTGAAACCAATTATCTAGTCCTTAGATTGATAAAATTCAACTTGCAAATTTCCTCTTTTTGGGTTACTATTCACTTGGAACACTAAAGTAGGTTAAACTTTGAAAAATCATATCTAATTCTAAACAAATAAAAACAAGGTTGTTTCAAGTTCTATTTGAAACTCTTTAGATTCTAATTTGAGCAAAAATAGTCACTAGATGATTGCTCTTAAGATTCAAGTCCAGTTTTAATCCAAATCGTTATTTTTTATTTGGATATTTTCCAATTTTTCAATATTTTTGCCTAATTTTGAATAGGCGTAACTTCCTGTGTAGATATGCAAATTAGACAAAATACCACTCATTTTAAAGCTAAGAATGACCTCTAATTACATGCCAAATCTTGTGGATAACTCAACCATTTAGCTAGATTTTTGTGTAGTCCAAATTTGGCCATTTTAAGGTTATTTCTATCCCCTAACTACTTTAATTTTGCATGTTAAGACCATAATTCCTCATACTAACCATTTACTCATGCAAATACGCATTATGGCATGTCTTAACATACATATACATCAAAATATCACAAGCCCCATAAAAGTCAAATTGCAAAACTTTGCATGTTCCAAAGGAAAAGTTCAAAGCCGTACAATGTCACAAGACATAACATTCCTTCAAGTTATAGCCACCTCCTTTCCTTTTTCCTTTGAAGCAATAGTCCAGCAAAGCATCACAATTAAAATGTTGACAAGCAAGGTATAACATGCTACATGCCACTAGTTATTTCATGCTTCTTCTAAATGCACATGCCATGAAAAGGTAACAATATGCTTTCTCAATCATCAAGCTCAACATTGCACATAACCAAGGCATTTTATGCATGGAGCTAAAAATATCATCACATAACTATCTCAACCACATCATGGCATAGCAAAACATAGCATACACGTAGCCAATATACAATGCAAGTCAACATTGAAATTGTAAATGGTTGCTACCTCTTGATGAATTTGGCCTTTTGCCTTTAAGTTCCCTCCCTGACAATCCTCCTCCTTCTTGATGTAAAGCCTATTAGTAAAACAATAGGGCATCACCCGTTACTAACTTATCCAATTTAAACTATCAACATAACCCTTAACCTTTTTTCTTTTGATTTTTGGGTTATTGTTTCTAGCTTTGATTTTTAATCCCTTCATCTTTTCCTACGTAATTTTTCATGTGTATTTCATATTTCAACTTAGATTTATCAAAATCTAATCCCTCCCTGAAAAACCATAGTTGGCCAAAACATAGGGTTAGAAGTTCTAAAATTCTATTTTCAAATGTAATGCTTCCATTTCATCATTTAAACACAATGGAAGCATCAAATCAATTTGATTCAAACGCTAACCCATATTTTTCACTTTGGTTGAAAGAAATATATGGGGTTAGGAGGTTGGATTTTCTTTCAAAAATCAATCATAATCATCAATTTCAACTCCTTTCTATTGCTTACACATTGTTCCAATTTCCTAACTACTATCCTTTCCCTTTTTTTTCCCCTCAAAATTTTGGCAGCATTTTCCCCTTAAGGAAAAGCCACCAAACCTTCTTAAAAACCATCTCAAAAAAATCCTAAATAGTTTCAATTTACAAGTCCTAATCAAAGCCAAATAATTCACAAAGGGAATAGAAGCTTAACTTGGCGGTAGCTTGGTCTTGTTTGAGCTTTCTCTCACTAGAATTTCTGTCTCTCTCTTGTAATTTAGGTGCAAAACATTCTCTCTCTAAGAACCTCTCTTGGCTGAAATGTGAAGGGATGGAGGGGGTATTTATAGTATTCCATTTAACTCTTAACCCTTGGAGTTTCATGAAATTACAAGGGGTGTGTAGCTAAATCTCAACCCTCCATTTTTCTCTTGTGGCACATGGACAAATCTTAGGCTAGAAGACTTGTGATCTTGCTATGCAAGAGGGTGATGTCATGATACTACGTCATCTAAGATTAATTAGCCTAACCTCCATAATCCCCTTGATTAACTTCCTTAATCACCTTCTAAAAGTAATATTTTTTTTATTTCTCTTTAATTCTCTTCCATAATTCAAGGGCCT